ATCCTGCTCTCCAACTGAGCTCAAACTAGCTGCACAAGCTGTACACCTAGCCAATAGCTCCTTTTGCCAGTGTATGAAACTTACTGTTGACTTATTGCCTGTGGATGAAATGCTATCATCGATTTATTGCACGGAAAACTATAATGTGACCATAGCTCGTCTCCTCTGGCTTTTTAGCTAATAAAAAATATTGATTTGTTTTATACCACTAGGAAGGTCTCCTTTGATCCCATTCTTGGTGATGGGTTGGTCCTTTACCAAAATGAGGTATGCGCGACCTCTCGCCTCCATAGGTTATTAACAACTTCTGCTCCCCCATTAATTAGTTCCGTCGCGGTCTGACCACGCAAGGGGACAGACGTGTGCCCATAGGCGCTCCTGTCCTCCCGATCGTCACACAAAGGCCACCTCAGTCACTACCTACCCCTTCGCCGGCAAGTGTTGCCAGTGATAGGGGGGGCGGGGTCGACGTAAACGCCCCAGAAGAGGTGTCCCCTCTCTCATGGATACATAAAGTTCTGATACGGGTAGTCATACTGCATCCCACACCCTGCAAGAGTGAGACCTCAGTGATAGTGACAGTAACAGTAATGTTTCTACGTGAAACACTTGCTGGAGTGGCAACACCAATGCCACAGGCAGCGAGCTTCCCCTCGCCACCCTCCCCTCTGCCAACCAACCAAGTAAGCTGAATCTGCACTTCCCCCAAGGACTTAGTGAAAACCGTCGAGGAATGGTTTAATTGGACAAAACACGGTAAGAACCGTAACTTTATCAAGTGTTAGACTCCTGAGGTCTATGAAACACTGAGTACGGTTAGGTTTGATGGGATTGTCCTTGAGCACCCCCCCCCCCTTCCCAGTAGATGCTGATGAATGTTGCCACATCCTAGTTAAACAATTCCCCCTATACCCTGAAGTCAAAGATGCTCGTGACTTTAATCCATATACCTGTACTCAATATACATCGGCACTACCGGGAGAAGACCCACAGGCAGCTGTCATAGTTAAATGGAAGTAAAGGGAGTGTCCAACCACTGTGAGGCTGACCCAGTCCTCCCTCCACTGTACAGTGGTCCCTCGGTTAACGAGCACAATCCGTTCTAGAAGGTTGCTCGTTAACCGAAACCATTGTTTCAATGGGTTTTTGGGTAATTGGTTCCAGCTCACCGAAAATTGCCTAAATTCAACAAAAAAGGTAGAAAAGTACACTTACTTTGAGGTGTGTATGTAGAAGGCTCCTGGATGATGATGAGAGTTAGAATGGGGGTGGAGGAGAAGGGAGAAGAGAAGGCATTGGGGGTGGAAGAGAAGTCACCCCATGGCACCATTTCACCCATAAAATTTTAGTTCTCTTAGTGTAATTCAAGATTATTTTCTTTAAATCAACAACTGCACTGCATTATATATTGTCAATATGTAAAATAAATTTCAAAATGACCAATAATTTGCTTGCAAACACAAAAAAAGCATTTAGTTGAAGAGAGTCTCAAGCAAGATGTTACCTCCACTGAAAAGACAAAGACTGACGCCTGTATGCCGTGTTGGCAGGCTGGATGGCGTGCCACAAACTAGTGACCCTACCTTCAATTATGTTCAATAATTGTTAAAATGACTAAAAAAATTAATATTAAACTTTTAAAATGATTGAATAGTATAAACTTCTTGATATTTACTAAAAGGGGTAAGGAATTTAAGCCCTAGAACCGATTACTGTATTGGCGGACTAATACTACAGCTGGTGGACTGCCAAATGCAAGCTTAAACATGTGGAGGTCAGCTAGTAAGAAACTCGTTAATCGAGGGATTGCTCGTTAACCGAAGTTAAGAATCTTATGGAAGGTAACTCGTTAACCGAGGGACCACTATATGCAGAACCCTTTTACCCCAGGCCTGCTTTTTGTCAACTGCTCCCATTGGGGTCACACCTTCACCACCTGCTGCAGACGTGATCATCCCAGACGTCGCTTCTGTTCACGTAACCATCACTCCTACACCTGTGCCCAGAAATTCAAAGACCACCTCAATGGGGTGTTGTAATTGTTGTGGCTGGCACAATGCTGACTCATGGCAATGCCCTCAAACGTCCGCCTGTCCCAGGGGAAAAGCCTCCCCGAAGGTTGGGTCTACCCCAACCTCCTCCTGCATCCCCTCCTGTCTCAAGCAATGCCTCCTTCAATAACACCAGCCCCTGCCTGGCTGCAACACAGAATCCCGGCCATCTCCTAACTCAACTACTACTGGGCCTCCTCGCCGTCTCTCTACTTGCTGTCAGGCCTTATGCTCCCACCAGTGCCCCCCCCACCACAACACATCATATCCTCTTCATGAGTTTACCAACGTGTTGAAAACTTGATACGCTCTGTACCATCTCCGACTACCCCTGCCTTCATCTGCTACCCATTCTACCCCCTCTGGTTTGACACAAGCTGATAGCCCTGGCCCCCCCATGCTCAAGGCCTACTCCACCGCCGCCTGGCATCACTGCTGGCGTGGCACCTACCGAGCCTGCCCCATGCCACGTCCCACCCCATCACCACAATAAGTGGTGCCTCATTCTGTCCACCCACTGCAAGCCGCGCCTGCTCTTGTCTCTGAGCTGTCTCCACCAGGGCCCCCAATTAGACCCGAGGACACCACCCACCCGACTCCCTGTTCCCCACCGGCACCTGGGGCCCATCCACTCAAGTTCTCTGCATCAATTGAACACCATGCAAGACATGCTAGTCACACAGTGGTTCCCAAACTTTTTCTGATCATTACCCACTTTTCATATATGATCCTTATTCATGGCCCCCCTCTCCCAATCCATATCTCTGGCTGGCTGTTCTAGTGGTGGGGGCGGGATTTTTATGTGTACATAGCCTCAGCTTATGGCCCCCAGTTTGGGAACCACTGTGCTAGTGGATTACGTATCTATGCCAAGAAGGATGTCCCCTACCAACCTCGCCCTTGAGCCGACACCACAATCACACTAAAAGGTATGTCCCTCCCTCCACCTCTACTGTACCTGTCCTACCACAACATATCACTCCCAGCCTCCTTGTGGGGGGGACCTCAATGCCCGACACCCCTGTCTGTGCTCCCAAGGGCCCTAGCCAAACTCCCAGGTTAACTCCAGACTGACTTTCTAACCTACAAACCACTGATAACCATTACCACCTCTTCTCCCCCTGGCCAGATATCCCTCCTCCAAGAGACAGGCCTGGCACTTGACATTATTAGGGACCTGCCACACTTTACCAGAGATAAATTATACAGGAAATTTTCCCCCCTCTCTCTCGTCATTCTTTCACTTTATGTAACTTGCTGACAAAACCCATGACCCTTCAGGCTTTTACGCTCTTAATGCGCGAGTCATGAAGGCAAGCATGAACTACACATGCTTCCGAGATGGGCAGTTAACGTTTTTCCGCTTCACCTTGCATTAAGATGACAAGGGAAATTATAGACTAGCCCCCTAGGAAGAAAAAATAAATAAAATAAATCAATAGTTTTCTGACGAGCAAAGGTTTAGGACATCCATCCTTAACTACCTGGTCTAAAAATTTCAATGAAAATATTTTGTAATTACATTGGTCCCTCGGTTAATGAGCACAATCCATTCTAGAAAGTTGCTCGTTAACTTAAAACCATTGTTTCAATGGGTTTTTGGGTAATTGGTTCCAGCTCACCGAAAATTGCCTAAATTCAACAAAAAGGTAGAAAAATACACTTACTTTGAGGTGTGTATGGAAGGCTCCTGGATGATGATGATAATGGGAATTAGAATAGGGGTGGAGGAGAAGGGAGAAGAGAACGCATGGGAGTGGAAGAGAAGTCACCCCATGGGGCCATTTCACCCATAAAATTTTAGTTCTCTTCGTGTAATTCAAGATTACTTTTCTTTAAACCAACACTGCACTGCTTTATAGATTATCAATATGTAAAATAAATTTCAAATGACCAATAATTGGCTTGCAAAAAAAAAAAAAGCATTTAGTGGAGTCTCAGGCAAGATGTTACCTCCACTGAAAAGACAGACACTGACGCCTGTAAGGTGTGTTGAGAGGCTGGATGGCACACATAAAACTAGATTCATTACCTTCAATTATGTTCAATAATTGTTAAAATGACTAAAAATTTTAATACACGGTATTAAACTTCTAAAATTATTGAATAGCTTAAACTTCTTGATATTTGCTAAAATGGTAAGGAATTTAAGCCCTAGAACCGATTACTGTATTGGCGGACTAATACTACAGCTGGTGGACCACCAAATGCAAGCGAAAATAAGTTCAGGTTGGCTTGTAAGAAACTCGTTAATCGAGGGATTGCTCATTAACCGAAGTTAAGAATCTTATGGAAGGTAACTCAACCGAGGGACCACTGTACATTTTTATTCAATTACAATTACTTCAATCTTCACCTCTACCAAACAGTGAAGATCCCACTCAGATGGCTGGAGTCTATGCTCCTTACTCCTCTATTGTATACATTGCTTAGCTATCTACAGTATATCAGCAAATCATCATTTCACAGCCATTTTCCATGCTTGCATGGATACAGCCATGATAGCAGAGGGTATTTCAATGTACATTCTCTTGAAGCCTCTATGTTATTCTCTCCCTTTACATTAAATCTCCTGCATCTCTAGACCCAATTGACTTCCTTTCTCGCCACATAGCTAAACCATCTCAGCATGCCTTTACATAAATCAGCCAATACTCTAGGCACCCAACCACAACTTTGAAGCTTCCATCTTTCAACTTCATGATACAAGACACTTTCCTGCCTTAGATATGAAAAACTTTAAAGGTTCTTCTTACCAACTTAAGGTTACTGCAATCCTATGCAACTTAGATTTCAGCATCCTTACTTAAAACCAAATTATATAAAGGAAAGTTGCAATGCATTTTTTAAAACCTTCCAAAATGGTAGCCTGCTATTGCTGAGACCTAGTTTCAGAAGGGCCAGTTACATTGGCAGTAAAATTTTACAAAGGACAATTGAAAAAACATCTTAAAATCATTTATTTAATACAAAAGCACACCACATGAATGGTTTGACATTTAAAATAACTTCATTTGTGAAATGACCTTAAACTTAAAAAAAATTGTACTTCATGAAATCAGAAAAGATAAGGAGGGTGAGAAATCATTCAAACACAATAACAGCAAATGATTAAATTTCCAGGACTACCTTGATCATATTTCTGAAGCCCCTATGTAATTCTGATCAAATAAAATTTATCATATTTAGGCATACCATAGGTTTCACCTTGGAATAGAAATACAGGTCCTTTATGACTGAGACAATCTCCCTTAAACCAGAGAAAACTATACAGTAAACAAAGCTTAACAATTCTTCATTTGTAGGACAATCCAAAACAAAATTATCATAAACTGATTTCAGAACTACAATAGAAACCCAATCATCAAATTGGCTTTAATTCTGCAATCAAACATTCATTTAGCTGAGAAGGGTATATAAAAAAAGAAAAATATAAGACAAAATAAAAAAATGTCCATTCAATTTCAACAATTCCCAGGGTCTTGCAATCCAAATTCCATCTTCATGTAGTTCCCTCAGCTGTGGAGGTCCAAACATCTAGTATTCTTGAGACTGGCTCTTAAGCTTGCCTACCTTGGTTTCGGACTTCTTTGGTAAAAGCACAGCCTGGATGTTTGGCAGCACTCCTCCCTGGTTAACAGATACACATGTTAATGAAAATATAATAAAATTTTGCAAACAACTACCGAACCACCACCTCAGCCATGGTCCACCAAAAATAGACAATATTCCACATATATAATCTCCATGTTAGCTGGAATAATTGGTACACAGCAGTTCTGCATTAGGTTGATTTTCTCATCTGCATAATTTTTCTGTGGACTATGGAAAGTTTTATGAGAGACTAAACTACAGTAATATCTCCGTTAGACTTAAACCCGGAATTGAAATTTGCTCGGATTTTTTTCCGAGAAAATTAAAATCCAGGTTTGGGAACAAATTATTATGTTAAAAATCAGGAGCATATGCAGGGGAATATTAGTTCTGGAGTTGGGTTCAAATGCCGATAATGAAATAATGCACAATTACTGTACTGGAAAATCTGAGAAAATCACTCCAACCTTTCTGCTCAGGACCTGGGGACAAGGGTTCCTGGTGCTATGAAAGACTGCATCATGTTTAGCTGCAGTTGACAGTGATAACGATTAATGGGATGAATTTTGTTTTAGGCTTAAACTTTTCTTGTAAAAAATGTTCCAGACTTGACTTGCATTGCTGATGTCCTTGCAATGTAGCGAATAATTTGAATATAAACATCTCATAGTTTGCACAAGAGAATTTTTTTTGCTTAGCATAGTACAGTGAGTACAAAATGAGTACAGTAATATGTTGCTCAAAATTATAGCCTTTTCACAGGGAAAAGAGTGTATAACTAGCCTCAGTGGTCAGGATATTTGGTATCGAATGTTAGAGTATTTCAAATGAATTCATTTAGTTCTGTACATAGACTTGGGGAGAGAGACTAATAATTTGGTACCAGTACCCTTCATGTAAAGTAAAATACTTATTTTTACCTTATTATTCAGCCTGTCATTTAAGGATATTATATTGGAAACATCTCATAGAGGATCATTATGGTGTCAAATTCACCTCTTTAACACAAGGTTTATAATGAATGCTGTGAGGTAGGGAGGGAGAAGAAAAAGGACCCATTGAGTGGTAAATGTGACCCACACATCACACCCCCTACATAACACACACCACAACAACCACAAGCACCTATACATCACACCACCAATCCCCCAAAAAATCACACACTCACCCATTCCAAACTACCACCTCTGTTAATTTTCAAGAGAAAAACATCACCGAAGGAAAAACTGCCAAATGGAATTCATGTCATTGTGCAACCCAAGGGATGGATGGATGAAGAAGGTGTCAAGGTAAGGTTGGATTAAGTGTGGTCCAAGCGTCCTGCTACAAAAGAATTCACTGCTAGTATGGGATCAGTTTAGTGCTCACAGGAATGAAAACACCAAAGAGCTAGCAAAGAACAACAGCTAGCAATAATTCCTGGTGGCCTGACTTACGAGTTACAGCCGCTAGATGTCAGCATTAATAAGCCCTTTAAGAATAACATGAGGGAGCAATGGAATAAATGGATGACAGAGGGGAATCATGATATTAAGCCGACTGGAAGGATGAAACGTCCATCAATATCTAAAGTGTGTGAATAGGTGCTGAAGTCATGGTGTGATATTATAACTACAGTTATCGTTAAGTCTTTCAAAAAATGTGGTGTCAGTAATGCTATATGGATGGCACTGAAGACAACTTGTTGTATGAGACTGTCAGTAGTGATGATGATTTTCCTCCGTGATGATTCCAAACTTGGTGATGAATCCAACAGTGACGAGTTCTCAGGATTTAAAAGATAGAATAAAATGCTTTTGACTGTTTTACTGGACATGATATTTAGAGATTTACAGTTTTTTGTGATTTTTTCTTGCTTTCCAAAATTTTTAATTCAACTGATTTTTACCAAGTTGCTTTTTTACTTTAATTTTTTTTAAATAAAGATTTTTTTCTTTAGACGTTGATATACAGTACATGTTTACATTGCTTCTACTGATGGAAAATATTTCTCGTCACGGTCATACAGACAAAATCAAAAGAAAGAATGTAAACACTACAACCCACTAGATGCAGAGGTGACCAGGTGTATAAAATGAGTGCTGTATTAAAGATTCCCACTTCTTATACAGATTTTTTTAAATTGATGAAAATGATGACTGATAAGCAGTTCTAAGTGATGATATTCAAAGAGGTATGTGTGCCTGTGCCAAAAGGGCTGTATATCAAGCAACGGTTTCACTGGTGTCGGTTAGTAAGTATAAAAAGTTTTTCCTAAATTACATTTCCAAAACCAGGGTGCGTCTTCCGTCTTAAGCGTCTTTTACGCCGCAAAATACGGTTGTGTCTCAAGAATGAATGGCTCTGTCCTAGCTGTGAAAATGCCGACAACTTTAAAACTACCAGCAGACATTTTAGGTACACCCAGGGTGTCATCCTTGAATAATAAAAGGCGACAAAAAAAAAAAAAAAAAAATCTGCAAACTTGGGGGGCAGGGGCCCTGTAATGTGCAATTTCTCTTATCCCCGAGAAAATTTTCCTGGTACCTGGAAAATTCCAGGTGTAGTGATGGGTTGTCAGACCACAGCTTACATCTCAGAAACAGTCCAGACCTGACCCGACATTAGGGTGGTCAAATGTAAGGGTACCTGCAGCCACAAATCAATCAGCATCCCTCCCATGTCACAAGGCCCCAACAAACATGTGAAGCCACCTTGGACTCTTTAACAACCTACATGCAGGAAGGTCCAGACCTGACCTTGTCAAATGTAGAGACCTCATGGCCAGGTCGAGGGGTCCAAATCCACGTCTACGGCCCCAGCGATGTTAACAAGCAGTCATCAGAAGATTCTTGAAAATATACAACAACTAAAAGCTCGAAAAAGTCCAGACCTGACCTTACATTAGCGAGGTTAAATGTAAGGAGACTCCCCCGATCAGCTCAACCTGGACGGCTCGTCTCCCCAATATATAGGGCGTGTATCCCTCTCTCACGAGACAGTCGGGGAGAACCAGAGAGGATCAGGAGGAGGTCAGCACACGTCCAGCTCACGGGAGGAGTCACACAGACCTCCCTCCGAGACACAGTGCCCAGCTAAGCAGTCTACAGACAACCCAGGACCACCAGCTAGGCCTTCCCAGGTCACGTGAGTTTTGTCCAGAGCTTTCCATGGGATGAGTTACTTACTAGGAAGCGTATTCATTGCATGTTCGTGTCAAGAATCAGTGTCTAATGCGTAATATGATGTCCTAAATCAAAATATAATGTCCTAGTAACTTCGATAGGTATTATTAATGGTCATTGTCATAATTAATAAACAGTTGTAACGATGCGGTGTTTGAGAAGTCGTCATAAGAACATAATAGATGTGTATTGACATATAAGATAATATAAGTGTACTGACAGTGTAAATAACTAACACGGCCACGCTACCAAATTCTTCCTCTCTTACTAAATATTCTCTATACTTTCTACTCTTAAAACCCTTCATTATACAGGGATGAGGGATTTTTCCGTATGAGAGTTGTCCGTTGTGAAATGCTCTGCATCAATTGTTCCAGCTAGGCGAGATATCATTGTATTCCTAATACCTAACTATGGCTGTATAGTTTGCAAGTTTTACTAGAGCCTTTCTAAAACTCGAACATGTAACTTGGTACAGTAAAAAGATTAAGAATAAAATGAGCAGAAATGGGAAAGTCTCTCCTGAAAGAAAGAAAAAGTTTTGAAGGCACAATGAAAGACAAAGACAAGAATACAGAGAAACAGGACATATACGTATTACACAAGTGCTAAGAACAGTTGAAAGTTTACAGGAGTGCCAAAAAACTACTACTCAAGTAAAAAGAAAACTGAAGTAGTATTAGGTACCTGAGCAATGGTGACTCCCGACAGAAGTTTATTAAGTTCTTCATCATTGCGGATAGCAAGCACGAATGCCGTGGGATGATGCGACTTTTCTTGTTGTCTCGTGCAGCATTACCTGTCAATTACTAAATATAATATGTAAAAAGTGTTGTCTGAAAACAACATAGCTTCTATATGTATAGTAAATAAACAAACAAACAAATAAATAAATAAATAAATAAGTTAATACCTGTTGGGGACTTAAAATGCCATGGGTATTGCAGGCTCTTTTTTTTCACCACCGCAGAAAAGCTAATACTGTAATAGGGGTCAACAACCCTCACCACAAACATTTAATAATGAAGCAGCTGGAATCACATCTGTACCATCTGAATGTTCCCAAACTGTTAATAGCTCTTTCAAAGGATACCCAAATTATTCCCATTCATCCATTTGACCAAATAAAAGGTTGGTTATTGTGCTACTAATGCAGTACAAAGTATGTATTACCCGTGCAAAAATAAAAAGCCCATCAATGGGAATGGGAAAAGACATCTTTAAAACAAAGCTGATCCAGGATAATTTTGTCTTGAGGGTCCCTTATAGGCTAGTGGTTGTATTGAGTTTTTTTTTTCTGTGTTGGGTTTTATTGGTGAATATTTTGACTGCAGAGATTATGTTGAGAAATGTGGGAAAAATCTTAAGATTTTAGAAGACGAAGACAAAGAAGAAGGAAGCAAAAAAGAAGGATGAAGAAGCAAGAAAGAAAAAGAAGATGGATGTGTGTGTAATGTTGGGGTTGATATGTGGGTGATGTGGGTGGTGTGTGTGTGTGTGTTGTGTGTGTGTGTGTGTTGTGTGTGTGGGGTGATGTTGGGGGTGTGTGTGTGGATGGGTGGTGTTGGGGTGTGTGTGTGGATGGGTGGTGTTGGGGTGTGTGTGTGTGGATGGGTGGTGTTGGGGGTGTGTGGATGGGTGGTGTTGGGGGTGTGTGTGTGGATGGGTGGTGTTGGGGTGTGTGTGTGTGGTGTGGGGTGTGTGTGTGAGGTGGTGTAGGGTGTGTGTGTGTGGTGTTGGGGGTGTGTGTGTGGATGGTGGTGTTGGGGGTGGTGTTGAGGTGTGGATGGGTGGTGTGGTGTTGGGGTGTGTGTGTGTGGATGGGTGGTGTTGGGAGGGTGTGTGTGTGTGGATGGGTGGTGTTGGGTGTGTGTGGATGGGTGGTGTTGGGGGCGTGTGTGTGTGGATGGGTGGTGTTGGGGCGTGGTGTGTGTGGATGGGTGGTGTTGGGGCGTGGTGTGTGTGGATGGGTGGTGTTGGGGCGTGAGTGTGTGGATGGGTGGTGTTGGGGCGTGGTGTGTGTGTGGATGGGTGGTGTTGGGGTGTGTGTGTGGATGGGTGTTGGGGTGTGTGCGTGTGGATGGGTGGTGTTGGGGTGTGTGCGTGGTGTTGTTGGGGTGTGTGCGTGTGGATGGGTGATGTTGGGGTGTGTGCGTGTGGATGGGTGTTGGGTGTGTGTGTGTGGATGGGTGGTGTTGGGGTGTGTGTGTGTGTGTGTGTGTGTGGATGGGTGGTGTTGGAGGTGTGTGTGTGTGGGTGATGTTGGGTGTGTGTGTGTTGGGTGTGTGTGGGTGGTGTTGGAGGTGTGTGTGTGTGTGTGTGGATGGGTGGTGTTGGTGTGTGGTGTGTGTGGTTGGTGGTGGTGGTGTGTGTGTGTGTGGATGGGTGGTGTTGGAGGTGTGTGTGTGTGTGGATGGGTGTGGTGTTGGGGTGTGTGTGTGTGTGTGAATGGGTGGTGTTGGGGTGGGGTGTGTGTGTGTGTGTGTGGATGGGTGGTGTTGGGGTGTGTGTGTGGATGGGTGTTGGGGGTGTGTGGACGGGTGGTGTTGGGGTGTGTGTGTGTGGATGGGTGGTGTTGGGGGTGTGTGTGTGTGGATGGGTGGTGTTGGGGTGTGTGTGTGGATGGGTGGTGTTGGGGTGTGTGTGTGTGTGGGTGGTGTTGGGGTGGGTGTGTGTGTGTGTGGATGGGTGGTGTTGGGGTGTGTGTGTGTGTGTGGATGGGTGGTGTTGGGGTGGGTGTGTGTGTGTGGATGGGGTGGTGTTGGGGTGTGTGTGTGGATGGGGTGTTGGGGGGTGTGTGTGTGTGGATGGGTGGTGTTGGGCGTGTGTGTGTGTGTGGGTGTTGGGTGTGTGTGTGTTGGGTGTGTGTGTGGGTGTTGGAGGTGTGTGTGTGTGGGTGTTGGGTGTGTGTGTGGGTGTTGGAGGGTGTGTGTGGGTGTTGGGTATGTGTGGTGGTGTTGGGTGTGTGTGTGTGTGTGTGTGTGTGTGTGTTGGGTGTGTGTGTGGGTGGTGTGTGTGGGTGTGTTGGGGTGTGTGTGTGTGGGGTGTTGGAGTATGTGTGTGGTGTTGGGGTGTGTGTGTGTGTGTACGTGGTGTTGGGTTGGGTGTGTGTGTGTGTGTGTGTGTGTGTGTGTGTGTGTGTGGGTGGTGTTGGGTGTGTAGGTGGTGTTGGGGTTGTGTGGGTGTGTGGGTGGTGTTGGGGTGTGTGGGTGTGTGTGTGGGTGTTGGGTGTGTGGATGGGTGGTGTTGGGGTGTGTGTGGATGGGTGGTGTTGGGTGTGTGTGTGGATGGGTGGTGTTGGGTGTGTGTGTGTGTGGATGGGTGGTGTTTGGGGTGTGTGTGTGTGTGTGTGGATGGGTGGTGTTGGGGTGGTGTTGGGGTTGGTGTTGGGGTGGTGTTGGGGTGTGTGTGTGGGATGGGTGGTATTTGGGTGTGTGTGTTGGATGGGTGGTGTTGGTGTGTGTGTGTGTGTGGATGGGTGGTGTTGGGGTGGTGGTGTGGATGGTTGGTAATGGGTGGTGTGGTGGATGGGTGTGTTGGGGGTGTTGTGTGTGGATGGGTGTTGTTGGTGGTGGGTGGTGTTGGGTGTGTGCAGGTGGTGTTGGGTGTGTGCGTGTGTGGGGTGGTTGGGTGTGTGCGTGTGTGTGTTTTGGGTGTGTGGGTGTTGGGGTGGTGGGGTGGTGTTGGAGGGTGTGTGTGGGTGGTGTTGGAGGTGTGTGTGGGTGGTGTTGGGTGTGTGTGTGTGGGTGGTGTGTGGGTGTTTGGGTGTGTGTGTGTGTGTGTGGTTGTGTGGGTTGTGTGGGTTGTGTGTGTGTGTGGTGTTTGGTGTGGGTGTTGGGTTGTGTGGTGGTGGTTGATGGTAGTGTGTGGGTGTGTAGGTTGGTGTGTGGGTGGTCTTGGTGTGGTGTTTGGAGTGTGTGTGTGGGTGGTCTTGGGTGTGTGTGTGGGTGGGTCTTGGGGTGTGTGTGTGGGGTGGTGTTGGGGTGTGTGGGTGGTGTTGGGTGTGTGGGGTGGTGTTGGGTGTGGGTGGTGTTGGGGTGTGTGGGTGGTGTTGGGGTGTGTGGGTGGTGTTGGGGTGTGGGTGGTGTTGGGGTGTGTGTGTGTGTGTGTGGGTGGGTGTGTGTGTGTGTGTGTGGGTGGGTGGTGTTGGGTGTGTGTGTGTGGGTGGGTTGGGGTGTGTGGGTGTTGGGTGTGTGTGTGGGTGGTGTTGGGGTGTGTGGGTGGTGTTGGGGGTGTGTGGGGTGGTGTTGGGGTGTGTGGGTTGGTTGGAGTTGTGTGTGTGGGGTGTTTGGGTGTTGGGGGTGGTTGGGTGTGGTGTGGTTGGTGTTGTGGGTGGTGGTGGGGTGTGGTTGGTGTTGGGGTGTGTGTGTGTGGTTGGTGTTGGGTGTGGGGAGGTGTGGGGTGTTGGGGGTGTGTGTGGTGTGGGTGGTGTTGGGTGTGTGTGTGTGGGTGGTGTTGGGGTTGGGTTGGGTTGGTGGATGGGTGTTTGGGGTGTGTGTGGATGGGTGGTGTTGGGGTGTGGTGGATGGGTGTTGAGTTGTGTGTGGATGGGTGGTGTTGGGGTTGGTGTGGATGGGTGGTGTTGGGGTGTGTGTGGATGGTGGTGTTTGGAGTTGTGTGTGGATGGGTGGTGTTGGGTGTGTGTGGATGGGTGGTGTTGGGTGTGTGTGGATGGGTGGTGTTGGGGTTGTGTGGATGGGTGGTGTTGGGGTGTGTGTGGATGGGTGGTGTTGGGGTGTGTGTGTGGATGGGTGGTGTTGTGGGGTGGTGTTGGGGTGTGTGGTGTTGGGGTGTGTGGTGTTGGGGTGTGTGGTGTTGGGGTGGTGTTGGGGTGGTGTTGGGGTGGTGGTGGAGTGGTGTTGGAGGTGGTGTTGGGGGTGGTGTTGGATGGTGTTGGGGTGGTGGTGGTGTGTGGTTGGTGTTGGGTGTGTGTGTGTGGATGGGTGGTGTTTGGGGGTGTGTGTGTGGATGGGTGGTGTTTGGGGTGTGTGTGTGTGTGGATGGGTGGTGTTTGGTGGGGTGTGTGTGTGGATGGGTGGTGTTGGGTGTGTGTGTGTGTTGGGTGTTGGTGTGTGTGTGTGTGGATGGTGGTGTTGGGGTGTGTGTGTGTGTGTGGATGGGTGGTGTTGGGGTGTGGTGTGTGGATGGGTGGTGTTGGGGTGTGTGTGTGGATGGGTGGTGTTGGAGGGGTGTGTGTGTGGATGGGTGGTGTTGGGGTGTGTGTGTGTGGATGGGTGGTGTTGGGGTGTGTGTGTGGATGGGTGGTGTTGGGTTGTGTGTGTGGATGGGTGGTGTTGGAGTGTGTGTGTGTGTGTGTGGATGGGTGGTGTTGGGGTGTGTGTGTGGATGGGTGGTGTTGGGGTGGTGTGTGTGTGGATGGGTTGGTGTTGGGGGTGTGTGTGTGTGTGTGGATGGGTTGGTGTTGGGGTGTGTGTGTGTGTGTGTGGATGGGTGGTGTTGGGGTGTGTGTGTGTGTGTGGATGGGTGGTGTTGGGGTGTGTGCGTGTGGATGGGTGGTGTTGGGGGTGTATGTGTGTGGATGGGTGGTGTGGGGTGTGTGTGTGTGCGGATGGGTGGTGTTGGGGTGTGCGTGTGTGTGAGTGGTGTTGGGGTGTGTGCGTGTGTGTGGGTTGGTGTTGGGTGTGTGTGTGTGTGTGGGTGGTTGGGTTGTGTGCGTGTGTGTGAGGTTAGTTGGGGTTGGTGGTGTGTGTGGGTGGTGTTGGGGTTGGTGTGTGTGGGTGGTTGGGGTGTGTGGGTGTGTGGTTGTTGGGTGGTGTGTGCGTGTTGGGTTGTGTGGGTTGGGGTTGTGGTGTGTGG